CTTGATTTGCTTTGTAGGTTTTTTGCTGTGTAAAATAGTTGTGTGGGTAACAGAGCAAGGGCTTGAATCCTCCTGTGGAGCTTGTTTGTAGTACAGTGTGCATCTGCTTCTGTGCTACGAGCTTGGGCTGACCACTCAGTATGAAGCAGCAACATGAGATCTCAGTCTGCTTTGTGGCATATAATAACAATCTAATATGGAGCTTTAATTTGGGGGGGGCTGGTATATCCAGATGCTTACCTCACCCTGACGTCAGGCAGGCACAAAGCAGGAGTGATTAATGGAGTTTCCTTGAATTGCTAATATTGAATTTGCTGTAATAACTTGCTACTCCAGGAACTGAGCTGTGAGCAGTTCTGATTTTACTGCAGACTTAATATTAAAATACTTTATTAATCTGTTACTAAAATGAACATCTTTTTTTCCAGAGCTCTAAAGTGCAGAATACTTTTATACTCACATTGCACTACAAAAATAAGCATGCTTTGTAAAAATAGAACACTTGTTCACATTCCCTGTCAGCAAAAATCAATACACGAGGAGAGGCTGGTGCTACAGTGTATAGGTAATTCCTGGTCTTGTCTTGTTGTCTATTTGCTGTATAAAATGTATCCTAACTACCTTGCAGGTAAAAGAGCTAGAGGGGAGAAAAATAGGCCTGGGACAGTACAGGATTTCATTCCTTCTGTGTCTTCTGAGCTTGAAGGTGTTGGGATCTATGATACCTGGAATTATGCACTTATACAACTGGCAGGTAGGGCATAGGGAGCAACTCCTTTTAATGTTTAACTGCAACTGCTTTTACCTTAAAAAGGCTTTGAATTGGGTGGCAGCTTCCAGGTGCTGTGCAAACAGACTGCTGTAAGGAGAGGCCTTAGGTGGTTCTTTATGCATTTATCACAGGAATAGCATGACCTGGTAGTTAATAAACCTCTTACGAAAAGTTCTCTTGTGTACGTGAAGGAAACTTAAGTTTCTGGCAAACTCACTTATATGAATTCTTACCAAAACAGCCCAGCAGATAAGAGGCAGTCTTGTGGCTATGCAGAATGACCTCTTCTGCCTGCAGCTTAGCAGAAACAAGCTCTTTTCAGACCTTGAACAGAAACCTGCAGACAGCTGCAGTTTTCCAGGGGACCTGCCTTCTGGGGGGGGACAATCTGAAGCAGCACAAAATTGTCCTGGTGAAGACATAGCAAGAGCACCTTGCTATTCCGTGAAGCAAGTCAGAGAGCATTTCTTGTTTTGTTTGTCACATGGACTGTAATCATAAACCAAACACTTCCCATTCGTTTCACATACATTACCCTAGGAAAGGCAACTTGAAAGTAAATATGCAGAGTACTATGAAAGCAGAAATGGAAGGGGAGAAATGCGACTGCCACCCTGCAGCTAGCCTTCTTCCTCATCTTTTCAGGCTGAATGTGTCATAGTGAAGGAGGAAGCCAGCTTAATGCAGCTGGGAGCATGCTGTTACTACAAAGGCTTTGGGTTCTGAACAAGAATGAAGGGGTAGTATGAGAGCAACAACTCTTTTAAAGCTTTGTCCCACTTAGCAGCTCCATGACAAGGTAAGACAAGGCTGCTGACTTAGTGTAGGGCTGTGATGGAAGCAGCTTCTCAATGCTTAATTTTATGGAAAAATGAAATTATTTCTACTTCAGTTTGTTCAGCCCATCTGATGTTTTTCCCCACCTCTTACTGTAGCACAGGCAAGTTACAGCACACAGTCAACATCAACAATTTAGCTTGGCATAATATATGTAAATAAATTATATTAATTTAATCAAATGTAACAGACTTTAAATAAATGAAATGCTAAAGAGTGACACCTCCTGTCAAGTCTCTTCCCAGCAGAAATACTGAGCAGCATGGCTTCCTGTTCACCCATGTATTCCCTGCCTTCTCAACGCCCACAACCTTCAGGTCTTGACAGGGATGGTTTGTTTGCATCCAGCACTGCTGCCATCAGCTTCAGGTAAGCCCACAGAGTACTCCGTGGTGGCAATGAGCAACATGTCCAGCGTTGTCTCAGTGCACTTAGCTATAAATCGTATGAAAGGCCTCACATCACCCTCGTTGGCCACTTCTAAGACATGATAATACTCTGCCCGTTGCTCCTTGCGGATGGTGATGGGTGGGTAGCCTGCCTGCATCAGGATGAGGTTCATTAGCAAACGTGAGGTCCTCCCGTTGCCATCTGTAAAAGGATGGACGTAAACCAATTTGTAATGGGCTAACGCAGCAAATTCCACAGGGTGCAAACTCATGGCATCTTCAGAGTTAATCCACTGCACAAACTCCTGCATCTGTTTCCCAACTTCCTGGGGGTGGGGGGGTATGTGATGCCCTACAAACACCTGCGTAGTCCTGAACCGCCCCGCCTCTACGGGGTCAGCATAGCCCAGCACTCTCCGGTGTATCTCCAGGATGTCAGTGATGGTAACGGATCCTATTCGTGATACCAGTGTGGTATTGACATATTTCAAAGCTGCATGCATGCCAATCACCTCATTCTGCTCCACTAAACTTTTTCCAGGAACAGCATATCTGGTCTCGATGATGTGTCGTATTTCTGACAGTGTCAGAGTGTTCCCTTCAATAGCAACCGTGTGGTAGATGTGGTGATAGTAGGACTCCTCCATCACTCGGCGCAGGGCAGAATTGCCTTTGGGGATCGCCATCACTTTTTTAACCTTGCTGTCAATAATGCTAAAATACCTCTGATCAATTTCTTCAACTAAAGGCAACGTCCGGTCCCGATTGATCAAAGCCTTTTCGTTGCAGGGAGAGAGGGTTAGTGCTTTGGAGTACAAATAGTCTGCTTGAAGAATGTCTTTTTCCTCTTCAGAAAAAATGCCAAATTCATTCAGGGCATCCACATAATCAGGATCCATTTTGAGGGCGTATACAAAGAGTTTGTGCGCTTTTTCTCGCTTTCCTTGGCGCTTCATTTCAAGGGCTTGGTTCAGAGCTGCTTTGGCTTCTAACTTCACTTCTGAAATGCAACAATAAGAGCAGTCAGATCACAGGATTCTACCGACAGCTTCTGGAGACTTATCACTGTTCTCTGAGATGAAATTAAATAAAACTTCTCTGTAAGACCTGCAGCAAAGAACTTGTACTCCTGCTGCAAGCACAAGGGCTTTAGGCCACACTCACAGCAGAACTGCTCCTGACAGGAACTGGGCCAGGCAGGGCCTGCAAGCAGCAAGGTACAGGTGCAGGATTCTGATCCTAGCAAAGCTTGCTTTGGCTATCAGGCTGCTGTGTGTGGGAGGACACAGAGTTGTGAGTACGTTCTGCTGTAATGCCAGTTCCCTTGCTGAGAGCAGACTCCACAGCTGCTAATAGCACATCTTCCCAGCAATAATAGCTGTAATGTGAATGATACCCTGCTGGAATCATAATGACTCCTCTGAATATTTTCCAATTGAATGTCCTGTCCACTAAAGCCAGTGACTGCAGCCTGTTGGTTGCTCGTGTTCCAGTTACCTCATCACATCTCACCACACAAAGCACCTGGATAAGCTGAGATGACACAGCACTACAGAAACACCTGCACAGCACCCAGCCATGGAATGCAGCCTGGCTGCTGCCTGGCGATGGCAACAGTGACCTCTTGGTAATTTACAGCTCAGAGAGGGGTAGTGAGAGTTCATTACCATTGGAGATACAAGGACATGCTCTGGCAGGGGATGCACATCCCCCAGACACAGAGGGGTTAGAATCACGGCATCATTCAGGACCTCTAAGATCACAGAGTCCAAGAGTCGCACAGCAGTGGGGCACACACTCACCTGGGGACGCCTTGCCCTTCAGCACCAGCAGCTCCAGTCCCTGTGAGGTGACACTCAGCCCGGTACTTTGTCCCGTGTACCTGGTGACACCCGTATAGCCGGTGCCCAGCCTACTCCTCAGGAAGGAGAGCCCCCTGAGCACCGCGTGGCACTTCTCCTCCACAGCAGGCAGCGGCAGCAGCAGCAGCAGGAGGGAGCCCAGCAGCAGCACAAGTACAGCTGCCCACCTGACGCGGACCCACAGGGCCACCCATTTCAGCTCGGGCTCTGCCGCCATAGATATGAGATTCATCCTGCTTCCAGCGGGGACGCGAGGGACATCTCCTTTTGTACTGCCTCCGCCTGCAAACAGGAACAGCTGAAGCCAGAACCCACAGCGCAGGTACCTTCCCTTCTCCTCATCTCCCCATTCCTTTATCCTCCCCTCAGGCCCCATCTCCATGAACCCCAGTCCTCAGCCTCCCCTCAGGCCTCTATCTCCCCAAGTCTGCCCTCAGGCTTCACCCCCACGAAGCCTTAGCCTCTCCCAGGCCCCATCTCCCCGCAGACCCCACTTTTCCCTCAGGCCCCATCTCCCCGCAACCGCCTGCTCTACTTTTCCCCCAGGCCCCTGCCCACCTTGGCCGCCTCCCTCAGCCTCCTCTTGCCGGTTCTATCCAGGTTGCCCCGCCTCCTCGCGTCCCCGCCCTCCGCGCTCTGCCATTGGATGAGCCTCGCGGCTTCTCGCTTCTCATTGGTGCTGACGGCCTTTCCTTCTCCACCGCGTTCCGCCCACTTCCTGCGCACCGCTTCCGGCGGTGTCTTCCGGGTAGCGCCACGCCTACAGGACGGGAGAGGCTCGTGGAGGGTGACGATTGGATAGAGATCACGTCAATCTTAAGAGAGCTGTCCAATGAAAAGCGGGCATCGGACAAGGGTGCGGGACACCTGCTATTTAAGAACTGCGTGGCCCGCTCTAGCGTTGCTAGGCAACGGCTGCGGATTGACTGGACTGCGGCCTCCATCGCCTTCTTCAGGCCTTGGTCTGCGGCACTGCTTGCTTTCCTCTGGCTCTGGGTGCCCTCCGAAGCTCCTGGTGCTTTGGGGAGGATGCCGGGGCTGTGGGGCTGGGCGATGCCGGCTGCCTGTCTGCTGCAGCCCACGCTGGGGCAGGGCAGTGTGTGAGGACAAGCAGCTCAGAGCAGGAGCTACAAGCTGCCTTTCCTTGCTTTCAGAAAGGCAGAATCCGCCCTTTTTGTGCTCTTTGAAGAGCTCGTCGTTTTTTAGCAGGACTGACAGAAGCAGCTTGGTGATTTTATTTCAGCCAGCGTTCCTGCAAAGAGACCAACAGCAGCTCGGCTCTGAGACCCTCAGCAGCAAATGGAGCCCGGGGCAATTCCTGCAGCACAACTGCTGTGTCCTCCGACTGCTGCAGCCTGTTAGTGCTGGAGGATAAACGGGGGGGATAATTAGTATCTGCGGGCTGAGCAAACGCAGCAGCCCTTCAGGAGAAAGGTGTGACAGAAATGTGTGTTTTCTTCAGTGCCAGGGCACCGGAGCCTAATTACAGAATTAACTACAGAGCGATGATGCATTTTCCTTTTCAAGTGGTTGTGAAGTGCATTTAGAAGCTGACGACCAGTTAAATGTGATGCTGTAGAAGAGAGTGGTGCTGCTAGCCAGAAATGCCTGGCATCTCATCCAGGCTGTGACACCTCTCAGCAGCCTTAGAGCTGTTGGGTTGCTGTGTACACAGTGCACTGCAATTATCTATGGTTATTTCAGAGATAGTAAAGGGACGTTCCAAAGAAGATTGTAGGAAAGGGCAAGGGCACGGAGCTGATGAAGCCATAGCCCCAGAGCAAAGGTTTGGCCACTGGAGCATCCTCAAAGCTCTTGATATGGTTGAGCACAGCCCTATCAGGAGCTGGGGGGCTCTGATGGGGACTTGAGAACCTCCAGGAGGAACTGGCACTCCAGGAGGTGCCGCTGGTTGTGCCCATTGCAGGTGGATGCTGGAAGCACTGCCGTGGTGTGATGGGAAATGCCACCCAAGATAGTTTTTATAACAAAACTTGAGGCCGAATTGGGTGAATGCGGGAGAGGTGGGATCCCCGTAGCCGGTAGGTGGCACTGACTCATTTCGCTGCTCAACAGAAGCCTCCCAGCGTTGCAGCCTTCTTCCTGAACCCTGACACCTGCAGCGTTTAGAGGCAGCAATCATTAAAATTCATGTTCTAAGACAGAGCGCGGCTCTTGCTTCCTTTTGGCACTGTGTGTCCCAGGATAAAATTGCCACTGTGTGCACGAAGGAGGTGTGGGGGGTGACCTGCTCCTGATGCTGGCAGTGCAGATCTCTCCTATTTCTGGAGCTTGCACAGTTAGCTGTAAGGCTGATCCTTGCAGCAATCCTGCATCCCCCCAGTTTCCATCAGGCAGTTAGCGTGGCTTCCTGCTGGCTTTTTTTTCTTCTTTTGCTGGGGAAAGGGCATTGTCTGAGAGCCGTGGTGTTGGGAGGAATTCCTGGCTGTGGAGGCAGAGCTGCATATTGGGAGTGTGGGATTTTAATCAATGAACAGATGGGCAAGTAAGAGATGAAATGCTTGGTGGTAAAGCTGTCAAACCCGGGTCAAAGCAAGGTTGTTGTGAAAAACGGTTGTGACATTCTCAGCTGCTCTGCTCGCATGGCAGAGAGAAACCACATCCCAGCTCAAGTGCTAGCGAGCAGCTCAGAGACCAAAGGGGTTTTTAATTAAAGAGGAGATAGAAGGGTGAGCAGAAAGCTAAAGCGAGAATACTCTAGCTGCAAACTAAAGACACTGAGCGAGAGGGCTCAGGGCTGTGAGTGATTTAAGCTTTTAGTGCGAGCATCCAAGGAGCACAAACGCAAGGCTGAATGGAGAGCTGAAAACAAAGCTCTGAGAGAGTGCAGGAACAGAGGGCTTTGTTGGCGCTCCTAATGAATAACAAGGAATGAGCTTCTCAGACAGATTGGTTTGCAGCAATGGGAATGAATGGACAAAAGGAAAACTTTCAAAGCGATCTGGCAGCTGAGCTCAGTGGGATTTTTAGCAAAGCTGGGATGGAGCCGTGCAGAACAGGGAGGGCCCAAGCGAGGCAATGTGTGGGTATAATGAGAGATGCAGTTCAGAGAGAGGAAGGAATAAGGAATCCCATCTGCGCGGAGGAAAATCTTTTTCATTATTGCACTTGTGGTCAGTGCCACTTTCCAATCAGCTGTGCAACATCACTGGTCTGGAAGTGAGGAAGGCTTTGGGGCACAGAAATCTTTATCCAAATGTAGCAGGAATGCTTCTGGTCCTGTCCCCAGGCAGGAACTGGGGTGCAGCCATGCATTTCCCTTAGGCTGGATGTGCCCCTGAGCCCCGCAGACCTCTCTGCCAATGAGGGACTCTCCTGCTATGGCCATGGGTTTCCTGCTGCAGGGGGTCAGCAAGGTGGGTGCTATGCACTTATTTCCAGCCTGTCCTTGAAGCTGCTGTGGAAATGCTGACTCTAATCAGAGTCCTTTTGGACTTAACTGCCACATAGACTTGACTAATGTGACTCCACACCAGGCAATCTGGAAATATATTAAACCTGGGAGTTACTGCGGGGGTGATTTGCATGTCAATAACAGAAGGGAAATCGCCTCCCCCTGCCTCCTCTCTGAGCTTTCAGTGCCAGGTACCCCCAGCTCTGTGGCCATTTCAGTTGCTTCCCGCATGCAGCCAAGCCCTCCGGGAATAATGAGAGCTTCTGGGGCGTTGTCAGCTTATTTCTTGCTTTTACTTTCCTGCTCCCTGGCTGAGTGAAGGGCTTGTTCAGCTAGAAATACGTGGGAGCGGTGCTTCTTAAGCTGCCCATCGCTCTGGCACACTGTGCAGAGCTTCACTGATCTCAGAATACTGGGGGGCAAGGAAACCCTAGGTCATGGCACGTGGATGGATGCTTCTAATAGGGGTAAAAGCCACCTCCTGGTCCTTCCCAGCTGCTGCAGGAGCAAGGAGGAATTCTGTGTTCCTGCAGAGCTGCTGGCTGGGGACTTGTTTGCAGGATACATCATCCCATACTTACAACTCCTGCATGCTCACAGTCTCCTGGGCTTGTAATTTAGGACAAGGAGGGCTAAAACAGGCAGGAGGGTAGGTGGTTTGTAGGAGTGGATTACAAAAGGAGCTGCTTTCCTCTGTGAGATTGTCAGCTCACCCTCTGCAAGGGTTGTGACAGCTGTCAGAGCTTGGGGAGGGGACCCTGCGTGGCGAGACAGTGGCTGGCTGAGCTTGAAGGTGCTTCTGCCATCAGCCTGGAAACAGTGCTTTAAGAACAAACCCCCAAAACCTACACTGCCTAGGTCTAGAGATGACTAGAGCCTCATTGCTCTTGCTTTTGGTTGTTGTTTGTTTGTTTATTTGTTTTTTTTTCAGCTGGAGGAACCTTTTGGCAGCAGCAGAAAGAAGCAACAGAGCCAACCATCCCTGTCCTGCCTGCTTCGTTCTGGGGAACCAGGACCTGAGCCCCACAGCCTTGGGGAGCATAGAGGCAGAAACCAAGAGTGGAAGGTCCAGGGACAGCTGTGTGCCATGGAGTGGTGGCTGCAGAACAGGGACATTTTTCCTTAAAGGTGCCTGGAGAGAGAGAGAGAGAGGGAGGGAGGGAGAGAGAGAGAGAGAGATGCTCGGTTACCGTGGCAACCGCAGCAGCTGCAGGGATGCTCGGGAGGCAGTGACTGTGCTGGCAGAGGCTCCTGGGCTGCTCAATGCCCTCCTTGTGCCTGGGTGAGGGCTGGGGTCCCCCACTGTGCCACCAGGATGCAGGGCACAGCTTGGCCCTGGGGACAGTGGGGCTCTCCCAGCAGCAGCAGTTGGGTCTCCAGGTATTCTCATTGTGATTTCAGGAGCTGTGCACCACTTTTCTCAGCAGCTGTACTCAGAAACAAGCGAGGCAGAACTCAGAATAAATGGATTTGCAAAGCAGTCTGTGCTGTTCTTGGACCTCAGCACTGCTGAGCTTGGAAATACGGGGAGGGAGCAAGTGTAGTCCATGTTTTTTGTCATGCTCTTAATTTTCCTGTATGCTGCTAAATAAAATGTCCTCTGAAATTCTTCCAAATTAAAATCCAGGCTCGCCTCTCCCTGCCAGCAGCAGTGCAGCCCCTGTTATCCTCAGCAGCGTGACTGCACCTTTATCAGGTTCCTCCAGCACTCTGCAGAAATCAGGAGTTGTGAAACATCTCGCTTTATGCGGCTGCATTTAATTACGGGGCAGACGGGATGGTAAATCTGTGCTTTTATGGCTGCTGAAATGTTGTCTTCATTTCTACTTCTTGCCTTGCAGCCCATCCCTGTCTCTGGCATGCCCCAACCGTGCCTACTTCCTGCAGCTCACATTGAGCTCCCTGAATGGGTGGGGAGCAACATCTGGGGCATTTCTCCTTGTGCTGCATCATTCACGGGTTCCTTCTTGCATGTGTCATGCCTATGACTGGAGGTTGGTCTCTCCTCTGGAGGTCTGGCTGCTTCCTCAGCCCAAATTAACAAGCGCTGGATGCTGCAGAGAGCTGTAATTGCAGCTCGTCTGGGAACGCTTCAGTGCCAGGAGCAAGTCATAGCCTCATCTTTTTTAGTTACTTCATTTGCAGACGTTTTATGGAGGCTCCTGCTGACATTTGGGTTCTGCGCCTGAGCAGGAGGCCAGGCAGCTCCTGGCTTCCCAGAACTGCTGATGGGATTCTGCGGGAGTCTTTGCTGCATTTGTGCTCTTGTTCAGCTATTACATTTAGTCTCCAGTGAATACAGAACTGACAGCTGGTAAAGATTTGCATATGGCATGAAATTAAGTGAGTTTGTTTTAATGTCTAATCTGTGCAAAGCGCAAATTTGGTTGCTAAAAGCTTTGCTTTGCCTTATCACTGATGCCACATCTGCTTCATGCATTGCCCTTTGATTTCTAAAAGTTGTCTTTCTCTGTACCTTGCCAGGAAGAGCAATGGGAGTGGATCTCTGCAATCTTTCCTGTCCCTACAGACACCCACAGTCGGGGGACGGGGCTGTGAGCACTGATGGATCTGTGGGTGTCCCCGTGCACTGCAGGCAGTGGGAACAGACAGCCTTTGGGAGTCCCTTCCAACTCAGATGACTTTATGGATCTGGAAGTCTTTGAGAGATGTGCTTAGTGGTATGGTGGGGATGGGTTGGCTGTTGGATTTGGTGAACTCAGTAGTCTTGTTTAATCTTAATGATTCTATAAGATCACCAGGGCTGAGGCCATGGTGAGAGTCCTGGGGGAGAAGTAGGAATAACCCAACAGCAAGCCCCAGTGCCCACAGCCTCTGCATTCCATGTGCATGGTCCTTGCTTGAGATAAGAGGGTGGGAGCAGGTCTGATGCTTTGTGCAGGGCTGTGGGATCATAAGCATTGTGAATCCGACAGTGAGAAACAAGTCTGTATGGGAGGTCTGACCTTTCTGAGCATGAAATCCAGGACCAAGAAAGCAAAACCCTCACACTTTGGCAAAGGATGTGAGTTTTCCTCCAGACTGGTTGGAATAGAATTTGGGATGGGAGTTGTTGTTGTTGTTATTCATTCTTTGAAGTGCCTTTTAATTAACAGACAAGCCATTTAGAGGCTGGATGAGGAGCCAGGCAGGGATGGAGAGGTAGAAGCGTGGGGAACCGAAGACCCCATAGACCCTCATGTCTTGGAGAGAGGAGCAAGTCTTAGCAGGAGTTGCACCAAGGCTCTGGTGGACTTATGCACACCTCTGCTTTATGGTGCTTACCCCGAAGATCCCACATAAGTAAGTCTCCTGGCTCAGGCTAATCCAGAGAAATCAATTCAATTAAAATGCATTGGGTGGGAGCTCAATATGGGGGTGAAAGCCTGCAGCAGAGAGCTGTACATCGCTCTGTCTGCTGACCCTGTGCTTTCCCTTCTCCAAAACCAAACCTCTTTACCTGCTCCCCATTTGTTTGCAGTGTGCTTCTCATCCAGGTTCTTGCATAAATCCAAACCTGAAGCTGGGAGGCTCTGCAAAGCTACTCCACATGCAGCATCACCTCCCCTTGGGCTCCCCAGGGACCAGACTGCAGCTCTGAATTGAGCTGATGGAAACTGGGGGGGTGGATGAGCCCTGGCGCGTCCCTTATTACTGTGAAATTTGCTGTGTTCCTGTAAATTGCATTTTGGCCACGGCTCTTACAAGGAGTGCTGCTAAATATAAATAGGAGGCCATTGTTCTTCCTCGTGAGCATAGCTCTCATTTTTCTCTAATCCTCTGGCACAGAAATTCAAACCCTGGGGGTGGTTTTATGGTAGGGAGAGAAGATGCTCTTCGCCCCTCCTCTCTCAGCAGTCATTTTACAGAACTAGAGATAACTGGAGTGGTCCCAGTGGGGCTGCTAATGGTGGGCAGGGACTCAGATTTCCCCACTGCAGCACCCACTTTTATTCTCAGTCCCTCCTGGAACAGTCCTGCCCTCAGCCCAGAGGATAGCTGTGCTTCAGGATGGCTTCATTTGATTCCAGCTTAGTTTTGTGCCAACTTAATTTGGTGCTGATTGACTTAATTTGGGGCCAGCTGCTTGCCTGTATTAATGGGGCAACGCTGGGTCTGCACATCATGCTCCCTCCCATCCATCCATGCAGGCATCTCCCCACCCCATGCCTTCCCTGCTGTTATACTGAGGTCTGATCAAGTCCTCTGCCTGATTAGCTTGCAAATATTCCTGCAGGTTTTCTTCCCACCTGACAGCAATGCAGCAGAGATAAGTGAGGCTCTGGTGTCTCCCTGCTGCATATTTCTTCAGTAAGGCCACGGCTGGCACAGCAGCACCATATCCAGGAATAAAACAGAGAGCTGGGGGAAGTGGTACTGCCACACTGGTTGGTGCCCCATTGCACATGAGAGCATAGCTTGCCCTGTTGTCAGCACACAGACCCTGGAAAATAACCACTTATTAAAGTAAATTAGCTCATTAATCAATGGAGGGGGAAAGAAAAGTAAAATTCTCACTCTGATCTGAGCCAGTAGCTCTTCTTTTTTGTTTTTCCTCTCTCTTTTTCCCTTTAGGTCCGAACTTTGCTGGGCAGAGGCAGCTCAGCTGTGGACAATTCCTGCTCTGCCTCAACAACAGCTGTGAATCCTCCTGCAAAAAGGGGAAGGGGAACTGAGCTGGTGCTGAACAGAGACTCAGCTGGGAGGTGAGGACAAGGAGAGGAGCTGTGGGGCTGTTTGGGGTATGGTGAGCCCCAGATGCTGCCCAGGAAGGAGGAGGCACTGCTGGGGATGGGGCCCAAAGGATGAGCAGCTCCTCAGATTAAAGGGTTTGCCAACATCTACTAAGATAAAAGCCTCGAGGCTGCCATTAATTAACAAATTAGCTCATCAAGACTGTCCCTAATATGTCAAATAAAAAGCTGTCCTATTCTAGCTGTTAAGCTAGAGCACGGGTTCTAATTTGCCTGCCAAAGTAGTACATTCAGTTGATAAGAGATTCATTTGAACAGATAGTTCTGAAAGTTTCCCTCTTCGCATCTTCTGCACTTTGCTCCTTTGCTTCCCCTGCATTTTGCTCCTGCCTGGGGCTGAGGAAGGTGCAAGCAATGAGTTTTGCCCATGCACCATATAGTAAATAAAACCCTGGAGTCCATTTGCACGAGGACGTATCTCATATGAAGAAAAGAGTGGAGCAAAATAGGAAGTGTGGCAGTTATCATGGATGTGATCTATGAAGCAATTTGGATGCAGGAGAAGGCAATCTGAAATCTGATTGCATTTCCTTCTCTTTTTATGGCATGAGCACAGCCGGGTGATTTCCAAGAGAGCTGGGGGTGAAAGAATGATGCAGTCGTAGCTCCAGGCTGGGCACAGTGGCTTTTGGCACTGAGGGGAACTGGGTGCCACCAACCCCTTTGTCCCACATCTGCACCCACTGGGGCATGATATCTCTGTGCCAGCACCATGAATCTCTGAAATTCACTTGGATTTCAGGCCGCTCCCCCTGATTGTGTTTTGTTGTTGTTGTTGCTGGATTATTAATAATCTTTTGGTGTAAAATGATGGCATTTTAAAATTTCATTATGTCTCCTTGTCACAGGACATAAAGCAGAGGCAAAGCTGATTCAATTAACGGGGATGGAATTGGCGGCCCCTGCAGCAAAGGCTGCTTCTCATTGCTGGACTCACTGCTCCTGATGGGAAGGGATTGAATGGGAGCTGGGGCTTGGGTTTGTTTATCCCACCTTGTCCTGTGCTGCTGCAGGGATGGGGTCAGCACAAGGGGCCTCCTCCCTTCCCTTGCCCCCTGCCAGCAGATCCCACTCCCACTGCAACAAGAGCTGGGGAAATGGGAAGCATTCCCCCCTGTGCTGGGCACACAGCTGCCAGGAATCGGTCCCCACTGACTCCTGGTGCCAATCCTGCCATGGAGTTTATGGAGACTTTGTGCCAAACAGGTGATCACAGAACCATAGAGTGGTTTTGAGTTGGAAGGAACCCCCAAAGGCCGTTTGTTCCCACTGCCTGCAGTGCACAGAGACACCCACAGCTCCATCAGTGCTCACAGCCCCATCCCCTGACCTTGGGTGTCTGCAGGGATGGGGCACCACCACCTCTCTGTCAGTGGATGATGGTGGTGATGCTGTAGCCAAGCTCACTCCGGGGTGCTCTCACTGCTGGGTAATGAGGCAGAGATTTACAGCTGCCTGCAGGAGAGGCGAGGGGCTGCACTCCCTCCAAAGTCCCCCATGGGTTAGATTAGGCTGTCTGCAAGGAAACTTAATTGATTCTTTAGGTTAAAGACTTTTCATTTGCGCAGACAATCCGAAGCATTAATTCTGTATAATGTGACACGGAACATTTGCGTGCAGCTCTCTGGCACAGCTTTTGCTCCCCGTGCTCCCTTTTGGGCTCTGATTTGTTTTCTTTCCAAGGCAAATTCTAGATCTGGCTTCCATCAACAACACTAATTAATCCCTTTCTAAATATTCTGACATTTATTATTTCTTAAATAATTTTCAGGAGCAGGCTCATGGCTTCAGGGTTGTACCATGCTGAGATCTGCACCCAGAACTTAGGGCAGAAACGAGACCAAAAATGACCTTGCACTGGGTCTTCCCAAAGTAAAACAGCAGCTGTACCACTTCCCAGCAACTGGTGGTAGGGAATGAGATGAGAATGGGTTGGATTGGGTTGGGGATGAGATGGATTGGGATAGGATACAACAGGATGGGATGAGATGACTCCAAAACCATCTAATGGTTTCCTAAAACTGGTCTCACTGTGTCCCCCCAGGGAACTGCCACTATTTACTCCATCGTATTCCATCACCTCGATGGGAAAGGCATCAAACAGCTTTCCTTTATTAACAAAATCCAACCAGAACTGACCTCAGTCTCTGGCACAGATGCTCACTTTCTGCTGCTAGCAGCTTTAACCACGCATTTTCTTAATTTTGCCTGGGCTGTAAAATAGAAACTTTGAAGTGAAATTAAAGGAACTCACATGCAGACTTTCATGTTTTTAATTCATCCTTCCCCTAAATCTTCTCCTGAAGGTGGGTATAACAAGGCACTGTATGCTTCCCTATGGGATGATGCCAATGATGGGCTGATAACAACCATAGACACCACCTATAAGTATCAGGAGGGCACCCCTCTACTGAAGGCTTACTCTGAGCTATCATTTAAAGCAGGGCTGGTTGAAGCCAAATTCTGCTCAGCTGCAGCCTGATGAGGAACCATTGGGTATCCCAGGGTCAATGATCTCCTTGGAAGTCCCAGCTGTTGCTTATTAACCCCACACCTCATTAAGTGAAGAGCACGCTCCCTCCAGTGGGATTGGCCCAAGTTAGGTGAGAGGGATTCTTACTGAATGTTTTCTGTGAAACAAAACTGCAAAGGGAGGAAGATTTGGGGCTCTATTTAATGTCTGTGGGTGAGTGGCAAAGCTGTGAGCCTGGGTAGAGAAGGGGCAAGAGTGGAGCAGGGTGGGCAGTTCTGAAAGACCTCCTAAAGTAGTTGATGATGGGTGGTATGGAGCAGTGTGTCAGGACTATGGGCAATCAGGGCTCAGGATGTTTCATCCTTTGCTGCTTGTCTTGGCTGAAGCACCCTGCAGTTCTTGCTGAAGCTTAATGAGCCCCAGGAACAGAAGTGCCACGTGCAGGAGCCTGATGCTGCTTCTCATCCTCGATTCCAGAGGCACTCATTCTCTCTTCCGTGGCTTTTAGTGCTCCAAAAGCTCTTTTGGTGAGAGTGGGGGCTGTATTGCTTCTGCAGGACTCAAATCCTCAGAGGGGATCTGGTGTAAGGAGCTGTCTTTGCCTGTAAGTCCCTGCTGTTGGTGTCCTGTCTATCAGCTGCAGGAGGGATTTGAAAGTGAGGAACAAGGATAATGTAGAAAAGGAAGCCCTGTGTTGGGGCTTAAAAAGAAAAACAAACTGTCTATGCCCTGTAATCCCTCATCTCTGTGCTGGGAGCTGTACATAGCTCTTGACACAAACATGGAGCTGCCAATGAATTGCTCAGTGTGGGCACATCCATCACTGCTATGTGATTCCCCAGTGATGGCCCCACAGAGCATCTACAGCCCACAGCATCAATGGGATTTGGATGCCAAAAGGGATTTGGATGCCAATGGGATTTGGATGCATTGCTCTCCTGCATCTGCTGCTTGTGATTCTGAGCACCCCTTGTGCCCAGCGGGATGCTTGAGCTGTGAAAGGAGCTGCATGGCCCTGTGCAGGTATGGTAAAGGTCCACCTTCTGTGTGGTGTAGTCTGAAGGAGGGTTTCCAAATCACTAGGCTGTGGATAAATGCACGAGGATTTAGCTTTGCAAGGCCCTGCTTGTGCCTTCATCACCTCTTTTCATGAGCTGGGTCAATTACCTCTATGAGTAATTAACTAATTGCACCTAGCCAGCGCTGAGGGGAAGGGGTGGGTGGCTTTGGGGTTAAAAGGGTCCCCCCTCAGGCTCACAGGGGTACAGGATGCCATCCTCACCCCAGCAATGGGGCGCAATGAATGGAAGGTGAAATGAATGGAGCTGCAGGGGGATTCAGTGAATGGGGGTTGCGGTGGGATGCAATGAATGGTGACTCCTGCAGCTCAACTCGCAGCAGCATGGGGCAGTCAGTGTGCACAGCCATGCCTGCCAGCAGCCCTGCTGGGCTCCGTGCTGCTATTTATAAGCTGTGAGTTGCACAAGCCTGGGACTGTTTTTTCCGTGATTGTACCGAATCAGTGAAACATGGAAAGCGGAGCTGTCTCTTTGACATCCTGTATATGTGGGCTTCTTTATTTTTGCAGTGAGCTTTCGTTTCCACTCGGATGGGATGCGGAGCAGGGCGTGTTGTCACAGCAGGTCATGGAAGGAGCGATGAGCAACACGCAGCCCACGTGGGAAACACAGGGAGAGGTGGGGGGTGTCTGCTCTGCCTTCTCTTTGCTTATTACTGTGACAGCTGCTGGGGTGAATCAGGCTGGTTCCCACCATCTGGGAGGTGCTGAGGGCTAGGAGGGGTTCCCAAGACCGTGGCATCACAGTGTTCCTGGGAGGGAAAACCCAAACTGCAGAGCTGACACTTGGGGTGTGCTTTATCCCATGTCAGTGTGGTTTTTACCTTCACGTCTTGCTGAGCACAGGGATAAGGGCGTGTGAAAACGATCCCATCCTGCATCCTGCCCTAGAGACGTCCTGGAAAGGACTTGGGGATAGGCAGATCCCAGCAGGGCACATCGCTGTGCTCCTGCCCCAAAGTCTGCGTGGCTCAGGTGTGTAGGATAAAGGTGTGCCCTGGGGTATGGGCTGTTCATCATCTTCTGTGAACACGCTACTCCTGATGTGTGTCCTCAGTGTGGTCTGATAAGCCTGGTGCTTTTTTGGGAATTGTGACTGCTTGATGGGGGAACTGCTGTTGGTGAATTCAGAGATGGGCGTGCAAGGAGAGCATCCACTCCTTTGGTGCTGAGTGTCCCCCTGGGAAGGGTCAGGGTGCTGGTGTGGGTTTGTCCAAAAGGTGTCATTATTGTGTGTGTGAAAAATAGGGTCATTCCCCCAAACCTGCTGCACACCCGTGGCTGTGCTGTGTATTGGAGCCCAAAACAGGGGTTGAGTGCCGTGGAGGCTGAAGGGCAGGAAGAGCGATTTGCTTGGTGCCACATCAAGCACGGGGTGATTGGAACCTCCTGTTCTGTGGGGGCGGATGCGGAGCTGCTCAGTCCTCACTGAGGATGGGACAGCCCCGGAAAAC